GATAGAAAGGAAAAGGAAGGCCATTTGCAAACACTTCTACGCCCTTTCATTACATCTAAACCAAATGTGCAATATAGGAAGTAAGTGCTGTTTTCTTTCCTACACAGCTATTCCTTCCAGAAACTATAGGAATATCCATTCTATATATAAAACCAAATATTTGCTTAAATCTTTCTTCCTTTTCCTTTCTATCCTTTCCTTCCTTCTATCCATCCTTCTTTCTTTCCTTCTTTCTTTTGTCTAGACTGACTTTCAGTACTTGTCTGTCACATGTTCTACGAATGTGTAGAGAGGAGAGCACAGGCACTCCATAGACCTCTGCATCTTTCCCAGAAGAAAAATTTGGAATCTGTACTTTTAGTTGCCTGCACATAAATGTCTACATCAAATAAAAACCTTAAGTGTATAGGTATACAGCAATATTTTGGTAGAGGAATTGGTAAGAGTGAGCCAATGCAAATGCAAAAGTTCTCCTCTCACAGCATATTCTTGGAACATCTGAAGAATCACTTCTGAGCTTTTAGAAGAGAAGAGTAACATTTTAGAATGCAAACTACAGGCTATGGAATTTTTTCTAAAGGTGATTTTGCACTTACCATTAGTCCAGATGTTATATAGACTTGCATTATATTTTAAAACTTCTTTCAATAAACATGAATAAGAACAAATAAAGTTACAGTAACTCTACTATCATTAACAATGTCATGTTGGTTAAAAGGGTATTTATGAAAAGTCAATTTAGGAACAAATTTGTTACTATATCTAGCTACCGTTTTCTTTCTATTTTACAAAATTCCTTTCCATTGCTTTTTAAATGGGAATAATTTACAACAGAAGCTTTCAACATTTAGTTATATTTCTGTTCAATGCCTCTTATATACAAGTGAATTGGTGTAACTTATTTGTTAAGTAATTTGCTTAGTAAATGTGACAAGAAAAGTCGTAAAATGAGGCAAAACTCACTTAACAAATTTCTCACTTAGTAACATAAATTTTGGGCTGAATTGTGGTCATAAGTTGTGGTCATGAGGACTACTTGTATTCCAAGAGCTGTATTTAATTATTTCCCTTTATGTGAGAAGTTTCTTTTCTCTCACTTTACAAATGAAAGACATGGCAACTTTTGGAGCATCTTTGGGAACTGACTGAGGGGGCTAATGTGCAATCTTACATTGAATAGGGGCCTGGTTTTACACTGCATTTCTGTAAAACTGTTTACTGTTATTGTTGTTCTTTTTCTCAGTGAACTTGTTACAGCTACAGATGGAGGACAGATTTCCCTGGACTGGTTTGATAATGACAATAGCATACAGTACCCTGATTCCAGCACCAGACCTACTGTCCTATTGCTGCCTGGCCTCACAGGAACAAGCAAGGAATCATATATTCTTCATATGATTCAACAGAGCAAAACACTGGGATACAGGTATAATAATTTGTCCTTGACATTTCTGTTATAATTTTGTTTGTGCAATGGAAACTGTGATTGTCTATAATACATGCAAGAAATTAGAGAAAATTTCCATCCCTGATTATGCTTTAAAATGCATGATAAATTCACAAATGTTTATGGGCCCCTTTGGAAAAGGTTCCCAGAAGTGATGAGAATTAGCTTCAAGATAATTAGGCCACATCAGAGACCCAGTTCAATGTACAAGGCTAGAAGTGGTGAAAAATGTTACAAATAAAATTAAATAAAGGGAACAAATATGAAACTGGCATTTCCATAGAATCTTGGAAATTGAATGAGACTCCTTCTTGGGTCTCATTATGAAAGGCCATCTTGTCCTCAAGCCCTTTAAAATTTTAAAATAAAAGGCCACATCCTATTATACACATTTTTCCATATCCCTCTCTTGTCCCCAGGTGTTCTTGTAAAGATGCTACATTTGTAGCCTCCTTAGAAGCAATTCCCATAACTTCTCTGAAGTATGAATCCTGAGGATATAAAAAAAAGCAAACCTAATCAGCAATCCTGACAAACCATACTGTATCAACTGAGATTAGTTGCAGAACATGGTAGCTTCCCATCATATATGATGTTGGATGAGAAAACAGTTTTGTGTCTCTTTGTTCATGGCTACTGTACCTGCACAATGAAAATGTTAATACTCTCATCTAGTAATTATGTTGATTTTTTTTTCAACCCAGATCTTAGAGCTCTAATGTTAGACCCCTCCTCCAATATTTATTCTGACAGGACAGATATAATAGGACTCATTCAAAAACAAAACAAAAAGTAACATGCATGTAAAGTAGCCAACTGTGCTTTTTTGNGAGGATAGAGAAGAAGTTGGAAGAGTTAGACCATCTAACAGTAAAATATGATGAAGAAGTTGGTGAATTAAATTGAAGCACTAATTCCATTTAATACTGTGTTCCTTAAGTGTTCCCAGAAAGAAGGCAAAAATCTCTCCTCACATATATTGCATTCCTTTAGATTGCATCTGCTAAAGCTAATATGTAATATAAAATGTAAGATCTGGTAATTGTCAAAATACAGGGCAGAAGAAAACAATGGTGAAATAGGATTGGCATTGAGAACCAGCATTTTCAGCCAGTTGCCAAGCTTTAAATGAATTAAGGGAATTCTCCATTCTCTCTGCCTTTGCTGGTGTTTTTCCACTTTGTTGCTTACTCCCCCAGAAGAAAATGGCAGAAGACAAAGGCTCCTAATCACTGTCACAGATTAATTGCGCTACTTATCCAAGAAACAGCAGTTGCTCCTTCAGGGCAATGGGATGGAAAGCCCAGGCTCCATGTCACCCAGAGGAGGGAGGGGTTGCCTTTGCTGTTCACCATCCAGGTGAGATGCAACAGCTGTTCCTCATGCTTTTGCAGCTCTCTGGGAGTGGAATAGTAGTTATAGTGGACTAGTAGTAGACCTGCTAGTTTTCTCTGCAATTAACAAGATGATCAGAGAAACCACCACATCCTAGGAGGAAATTCACCAGAAGAAGGCAAGAGAAATCTACCAAAGGCACCTAATTAACAGCATTCTCTCAACCCTTGTTTTTAGAATGAACTATGGTTTATTCTGAGAGTCCAACAGTTAAAAAAGCAAGGCATGAATAATATAAATAAAATTTATGTTTCACCTTTTGAAGTAGATTTGTAGAAAGCGCAGGGATCAGCAGAAGACAGGCCTCTAGGTTCTCAGTCAGATAAGCAACCATTTGTAGGTAGCAGGGAGGATTTAATATATTTTACTATAATCTGCACATTTTAATTGACTTCATTTGTTTTCATTATCTCCTGCGTGTGCCATAAATCACTTATTATATTGTTCATATTTCTGCAATCTATCAGGGACCCTGATCTAAGCTTGAAGGAGTTCCTTTGTTTGCAATGAGGATAAAATAGGATTTTGCAAGGAGAGGGTGCTTGCCATGTCATATTTACAATTTTGAAGAATTTAACTTGTTCTATACTTTAGATTTCAAATTATTTTGCTAAATTAGAGTTGTAGGAGTTTCCTTTGCAGACTTGAAACTTTTCTGTTTTCTTGAGCGCATCTCATTATATTGTTTGAAAATTTTAATTTATAGCATGCAAGACAAAATGCAGCACCTGGATCTACTCCAAAAGTTGCCTAAATACAATGACCGATATCATTTAATCTTCAATGTAGGAGATAGGAAGCTTAATNCCATTGCTGCTGTTAAGTGAGACAGGGGTTGTTAAGTGAGGAGCTCCTTGCAACTTCCTGTATTCTTGCAACAAACGAAAGGGGAAGTTGTCAGGAATTCCCAAGACCTAAAACAGCTTGCAAGCAAGCTTACTGATAGATAAGCAGTTGCTGCTGGATGGGGGGAGTGGGGTAAGAGGGTGGCCAGTGAGCCTGAAGGGGCCAGGGTGGCTACTGCCAAGCACAGGACTCTGAGCGACTTCCTGGATCAACTTCAACTTTCCCTACCAGCAGGAAAGGTTGCCAAATTGGCAATCGTGAGATTGAGACAAATTGGCAATGTGAAATTGAGACCAGGACAAATGTGAAGTGGTAGACAAATTGCAATCACATGACTGCAGGAGTGCTGGGCCAGCCAGAACTTCGGGGCTGGTTGTTAAGTCCCCCTTATTCAGAACCATCATAATTTTGAACCGTTGACGAACACATGGTCATTAACGGAGAACTACATGCAAATTTACTTTTAAAAAATCAATGTTCATACTTGTCCCATGAAAGACCGCCTTAATTACGGTCCATACAAGGTAAATAGCTAAAGAACACAATATTTAAAAAAAATAATCTAAAGGACACCTTTCTGAAATAAAGGCCGTATGGCATTCCAATCATATTACATCATATTTTATCTTTAATATTTCTTTGCAGCAAACCTGTACTCGCGCATTGCTTAAGCCACATTAGTCAGAAGCAGGAATCTAAAGCATTCTGAAGAAAACTACGCATGCTCCGTAAGAGAGACACTCCTGATTGTAAACAGAACGGGCATTAACTGGTTTTGAAGAACTCTATGGTTCTGGAAACCGGCTCTAGGCACTTTTAATCAACTGCGCATGTGCAACAGCTACTTTCGCAACTCCTTTCGGAAATCCGGTTTGACGTCACTGTTGTTTAAGGAGACAAGCGAGTCTGTTCGGTGTCAGCTGGTAGCGTTCTGGGGCGGAAACTTTGTTGTTGTAAAGAGTGAGAGAAAAAGGCAATCGCTGATACACTTCTGGTTCCCCAGTGCAGAACTTTGGGAAAAGAATATTTTGCCGAATTAAAAATGTGATTGTCTTTCAGTAAAGTAGTAAAACAGAAATAAAGCGGGTCGATTTAAATAACATTGGACATTTATTAGATGAATTCGATTTCTTTGATTTATAGTAAGAAATATGCTACTAAAGTTTAATAACTTGACGCTCCTTATTGTTAGTAGCTTTACAGCGTGCGAAGCAAAGTTTTTAATCCAATGACAACGCTCTCCTCGGAATTCCAACATTTCCTCAAAGAACAGAGGAAAGAAATTAGTCACAAGTTTGAATCTGTTCATTAAACCGTTAGCCACATTTCCTGGATGACGTTGACAACAATAATATGTTAAACCTGCACGCCGTCGGACTCTCAACGACTTTTCCTCGCAGATTTCACTGCTTATTAGTTTGAGAGTGTCTAGATGCTTCTGTTAGTTGAAACAAAATGTCCAGTTTTGTAACAACTGGACAATAATGAAGGAATTGAGTAGTCAGTTGTTGTTAGTTTTGCAACTGCAGCATTTTTAGATTTGTCTGCAGCATTAAACCTCCAGATTTGGAGGCAACTTGTTGGAGCTGGTTAAGACTATGGTGCAAGTCATCGGATTTCTTTGACATAAATGATGAATACATCGGCTGCGAAATTTGATCAGCGAACGTTTGGATGACTTGATGTAATCCGAGTTTTCTGCAATTCCTTTTTTTTTTTTTTGGTCATCTAGCGGTCGTCCGATTTTTTTTTTATTTTTTTTTTGCATTCCAGACAGAGACCCTAAATAGATTCTACGGGGGAGCCTTTTCCTTCGAGCAAAGCATGCTTAGCTTTCTTCCTTTTCTAACGCACTTTCTCCTTGACATAAAAGCAAAAGTGCCGTAACAGGGACGAGGCAAACTTGTTCTTTAAGAGCAGCGGTCTCCAACCTTGGCCATTTTAAGAATTGTGGACTTCAACTCCCAGAGTTCCACAGCCAGCTTTGCTGGGAGTTGAAGTCCACAAGTCTTAAAGTGGGCAAGGTTGGAGACCCCTGTTTTAGGGAACTGCAACAATCACTCGTCTCCCAATGTGCGAGAGGGGCAGANCTGAACTGCAAATAACAGTCAGCTGAAGTGGCCTGCAGTACTGCACCTTAACCACTGCGCCACCTCGGCTCTTAAATCAGTACTGTAAATTGTTTGACTCCCACTGCATTTTTTCCAGTTCTCAATCCTTATGTTTAGAACTTTAGAAAAAAATACAAAATATTTTCAATACCTTCAGGAAAAAGAAAAGGTGATTCTTTGCAATTTTAGGAGGTCATTGAAACTGACTACAGTTGCTTCCTCCCAAAATGTTTTTATAATGTTTAGTGGGTAAAGCACATGATACTGAACAGCCATGTCAGAATTAAAGGGTGAGTTAACTCTAGTTGGCATTTGATGAATTAGATTCCTCTACCTATTCCCACCTTTCTTTCATTCATCATTCTAATAAAATCTTGTTCAAAAACTTTTTCTATTATAGGCTTTTCCATTGTAAAAGACAACACATTGGTGAGGATGAAAACTGAATATATGTTGTAAAAATCAAGCAGGAGCTTGGAGTTATGATTTCCTAAGGTGAATTATAAGCTCATAATAAGAAAAAAAAATCAGAAACAAGGTTATCGGAAAGGCTTCAATAAGGAATATTTTAAAATACTGTAGTCATAACTACATTCCATTCTGAGTCTCATTTCTGAACTTCCCCCTAAAATAAACATCATTTGTTATATGCAATACAACGCACTCTTATTTACATTGATTAATTAGAATGCATAAAAAGTATTCTTACTTTACTCAGAAGTATAGTTGAATTCTGAGTTTTCTCAGTGAAAGAGCTGAGTTTAAACTAGGACGACAGTTTATTTTGGGCTGGGGAAAAATCCATTGATAATGTCCAAAAGCAGTGTTACAGTAAATCACAAATTCGAATGTCTCAGAATTGTCAGGTAAGATATATTAGAGGAACTTTATCAAAAAATTCTATAAGGAATAGTATTCTTAATTACTTATTTTTTCTTCAAGGAGTTAACCATACTTTTATTAGAATTAGTCCAGAACCTTCCAATTCCAAGTAGTTACTGGTATCTTGCCACCCCAAGGAAGTGGTCTGCTGTGCTCTTTTTATGGCTTGTTTTCAAGAGTCTTTTACTTTGATCAACTCTTACTGATTTCATGCCCCTCCCCCATTTCCTTTGTAGTTCTCTAATTTTCTGGTGAGTCTTTCCCATCTGAATATTAACCAGATCTGACCTCAGTTTGCTTTTTTGAGATCACTTACCAAGATTCATAAGAACTAGTACTATACTGTATATTTTTAATCTTTCAAGTTATGTTTTATCCTATTCAGCTTTTAGATAGAACTATTATATTCTACTTTTGATAGTAACATTTTCTAATGTATCCAATACACTGCAAGCTTTCATTTTTATTATTACATTCATTTTTATCATTCTCTTTCTATGTAATTTGATTCCTCCCAGGGTATTTTACAGATGATGCATCATTTCTCCAGATATCTCGTCCTTGCTTTTTAGCAGAGCTTTCATTACTGCTTCATCCATCCCTTTTGACTCACATTCATCAGAGGCTCACAAAGATTTCTGGCATTGGGAAACCTTTATCTCTATTGGAGCATCGCAGTGTTTGTCAAAAGCTAATGACTGATATTAATAGCCTTAAGTGGAACCAGTTTCCTAAATGCCATTCCTTAATACGGCCCAAATGGCACAACATAAGAGGTACATAAGAGGAAGTGTCATATTTTTTCAGAGGATTCTTAGAAACAGACTAGTAGACCTAGACTGTAAAAAATTGGAATGTTATATTACATCATATTATGTTACATTATATTCATGAACATATTTTCATGGAAAAAATAAAACGTGGAAAGGGGCAAATCTGAAGCTCTCGTAAGGATAATTTAACTGTTTNTACTTATCGTTTATTAATCTGTTTCCTACATCCAAATTAGAATGCATCTAAGTAAATCATTAAGTTCCAGTACTTGCAAATAATTTTATGAGAGTATTAATATATTTTTCTCTTTCCCTGCTACCTGTTTTATTTCTTCAGCTATACCAGTGGAAATTGCAAAAGAAAATACTAATATAGCTTTGATCCTTACTTCCTATGGAGGCCATATTGGTTTTCTGGAAGGATTGTGGCCAAGAAAGTGCACATATATGGACAGAATCTTCAAACAATTTGTTCAAGCTGTGTTTGAGCATGGGAGAAAAATTGTTACTCTCTAGCAATCTATCCAAATGATGGTTGCAGCACAGTGTCAGAGTAATTAATCTTAGTGCACATACTTAACACTTAATCAACCAGAAAATGAAGAAAATCCATGATTCAGAGCAAAATATAATTTTGCTTAAATATTTTTGCAGTATTATTGTTTTTGTCTCATATGCCTTTTAAAATATAATTAAAACCATTCATAAAATTGCACTTATCTAAAATGATTAGATATTACTCAGGTGTTTTAATTTCAATAATTCAAATGTAGGAATCAGACATTTGATTACTTGTTCTAATGCACTTTATGTTCACAAATATGTGAGAGCACAGGAACAGCTTCTATGTGGGTTCAGACAATGGCTAGGAAATGCTAAATACATATTTTAAAAACTAATAAAAATAACAGTTCAAGAAGCCATAGATTGTAGCAGTTATTTGTTTTTGCATCTGTTACACAAATACATTGCAAACTCTATGTTTAAAGCTTTAAGTTGTTCTAGGTGTCTTATTTTTAAAATTGTTATCAAATTATAACATTTATATTTATACCAAATATTTTATCTTAAAATGCAGAACAGAAATAAACTGCTTTTTAAAAAAACAAAAGCTAATTCTTCATTTTATAATTCTTGCATTTAAGGCTTACATACTTTACATAGTTTTGTGTGATTGTGATGGGTAAAATATGGTTCATATGAAGACAATTTAGCTTTTCTTTGAATAAGAGTTGACAGGAATAGCAATAGCAATAGCAGTTAGACTTATATACCGCTTCATAGGGCTTTCAGCCA